TCTCTCTCTCTCTCTCTCTCTCTCTCTCTCTCTCTCTCTCTCTCTCTCTCTCTCTCTCTTTCTCTCTCTCTCTCTCTCTCCCTCTCTCTCTCTCTTGTGGCTGGAAAGCCTTTGTTCGTTAGAAGGTTCTTCCTTTTTGCATGAACAGAAGTACTTATTGCTGAGAAGACTTGTGCCCTCTCATTCCAATTGTACACTTGACACACGAGTCTCTAATGGCTGGAAAGACTGTTTATTGTTCATTAGGAGGTTCTTCCTTTCTGCATGAACAGAAGTACTTGTTGCTGAGATGACTTGTGCCCTTTCATTCCAATTATACACTTGACCGACGAGATTAATTCTGACATCCATGCTTTGACGTGACTGAGTTGGGTAGAGCATGCTACCTTTACTTCGTGCTTGTTGTCCTTGGAGCGGCTCTGCTGTCTTTTTTTTATTGCTCTGATACGAAAGAATGTCCCAAACGGTAGGCCGACGTTTGTCGTGGACTTCCAGTCTCTTTCACGACAAACCTCGCCTTTTAGGTGAGGGAAAGGAAAAGGGAGCGCTACTGCTGGGGTTGTCTTGTTTCTGATGGACAGCTTTTTCCCGAAAATTTTAATCGTTCTCTTCTTTCCTAGGCTACCATAGTGGCCCGGGCCCACTAGCCCAGGCGGTGATAACCACAGAGAAGAGAGATAGAGAGAAGACAAAACAAAGGAAGACAAAGGGAAGGTTAGGGAAAGGAGTGTGGAATGAAGGGGAAGGCGAAACTGGAGGTGCAGCTACTGTCAAAATGATCGGTATTTGTGTTAGCCGGACCCACAGTGGCGCTCCCAACCCTGCACCGTAAACAACTAGGGCAAGGGGCAACATGCATCCCCTCTCATTATGAGAGGTAAAAGCTATGCCTGCAGGGGTCCCCTGTATAGCCTTAGGAGTAGTAGTATCAGGTAGGTAGAAAACATTGTGAAATTGAGAGGATCTGAGACAATTGCAAGGAAGATCAGCAATAGTGAACTTCAGCAATCAAACAGCATCATACATATGAGTCCAGATATTCTTGACCTCAAACGAACAGCAGCATTGCATCACGAGAATCACCAAATAAGAACACACCAAGAGTTCATAATTGACAATGTTGAAATAGTCCCATCATCATCAACGAAGAACCAGAGTTGATATCCTATCTGGCGCTCGGCGCCCAGACTACATGTGGCAGATCCTATCTAGCCTATGCTACGAAGCCGAAAGATGACATTAACAGCATTCCCGAAGTATGAGCATATGGCGACCAATGTCGTATGCTTCCAGCACCAGGTATGTCTCGCGGTACACTCACAACCTCGTTCCCCAACTCACAGATGCCACTAGCACCCCAAGGACCACCCTGCGCCACACCCAGCTCACAGCGGAGCAGCTCGGCTATGGCTGCCCGCTCCTTCCCTGCTCACCCGTGAGAGCGTAGGCGCCAGCCACCAAATAGCGCAGCAGCGCTTGCGCAGCATGCAGCCAGCACCTGAATGCCGAATGAGGAGGCAGGCCCTTCCCTATATCGAAGTGGCCTGCCTGCGTCCAGTCCCAGGAAGCTTCCAGTAGGCCCCGGTAGCCTGAGGCCCAGCACGTCGAAAGCAGGCCTTGGGCCTGAGTGGTTGTCTGTGCCCAACTGCCTTCGGCCAGTGTTTGGCCCGGTACCGGTATTCAGCCCAGGGCCTGCTTCACATTCATTCACACAGGCGGCCCAGGGCCTGGGTTCACTCAACCTACTGGCGCTGCGCAACTGCCTGAATTTCCCTGAGTTGCGTGGTGGCCAGAAAAGGGCCCTGAGGGCCTCGTCCATCCTGCCTTCACTTAGGGCGGCCGACGGGCTGCAAAATTGGGGTCTTATGAGGCTCTTAGAGGCAGTGGCCTCGCACAATAATATCTCGTATCGTAGTTTTACAAAGAAAATAAAGAACAGAAAAAGACAAAAATTTGGAAAGAAGATGGGCTACAAACCAAGGGCGGTCACCTTGGCTGCCGAGGCGGCCCAAAAAAAAACAACAAATTTCAAAAAAAATCTGACGAACAAATGTTATGCAGAAAAATAAGCTGAGCAACTTTTGCCTCGGGGTCAAATCTGAAGTCCACACAAAATTAAAAATTAAAAGTAAAAATTAGATATGTATATTGTGACTTATTATCACATATCTATGAACTAAAACTTCTAAAAGAGTGCACTTTGCTAAACAAATGATAAAATTTCATAAAAATAAAAATACACAAGACAAACATGAAGAGCACACTGAAACCATTCATTTTTCTCGTTCTTCTTTTAACTCCCCTTTCACCGCGCCTCTCACGTACAAGTCTCGCCACAATAATGAAGTTGAGTGCGAGCCTGCTGGCATCCGTGTGTGCCATAACGGTCCACTTGTACGCTCTGAGAAAGAGGCATAGTAAAGGGGGAGGGGATAAACACAGAGAAGTGAGACGGAGAGAAGACAAAACAAATAACAACAAAGGGAAAGTAAGGGAAAGTAAGGAGTGTGGAATGAAGGTGAAGGCAAAGAAGAAGATAAGAAAGTGAGGGAGTTCGATGCAACACACCGTGTGTGAGAAACGCCTGGATGCCCCATTTTTAGAGTCGTGGAGTATATCTATCTGATGCTCTCGGTCTGTCTGGACTGGTCCTTTTTGAGCAGTTGACCAGCGTTCCATTATTTGACTGGTATGCTCTGTTGGTGTCTTGTCGCTTGCAGTTCGAGGGATGACCTATTACCACAGGGCACTCAAGGCTCAGGCATTTCTGGATACAGCCACTGATGAAAGTAAGGTTTCGAAACCTGCATCAATTGGGAAGAAGTGGGCTCTCTCTCTCTCTCTCTCTCTCTCTCTCTCTCTCTCTCTCTCTCTCTCTCTCTCTCTCTCTCTCTCTCTCTCTCTCTCTTTCTCTCTCTCTCTCTCTCTCTTGCACACATGCACAACAAATCTGTCACAGATTGTTTCATCAGACGGTCACCAACTGATCAGGAGGTTGGACTGACAGTCTGTCCCGGATGCTGTTAACTGGTGGATGACTGACCGGTCACCTTGCCCAAATCTCTCTCTCTCTCTCTCTCTCTCTCTCTCTCTCTCTCTCTCTCTCTCTCTCTCTCTCTCTCTCTCTCTCTCTCTCTCTCTGTGATTGTTTCATCAGACGGTCACCAACTGATCAGGAGGTTGGGCTGACAGTCTGTCCCGGATGCTGTTAACTGGTGGATGACTGACCGATCACCTTGCCCGAAGCTCTCTCTCTCTCTCTCTCTCTCTCTCTCTCTCTCTCTCTCTCTCTCTCTC